AGCAGAGGAGGGGATGGGGGAGAGGGAATTTCGAGGTTTTTTGATGTGGTATCATTTCACGTGCTTTTTTTGATGTAGTATATTTATTCTTCAAATGAGGCGTGCAAATGTATTTGTTTAAAAAAAGAAAAAAAAGTGCGGTACAGGATTAATGCACTAATTTAGTTCTGAAATATGGTTCAGAGGATGAAACAGAGTTCATCACTGAATGAGCAAACACAACTTCCCTAGGCAGATCATCCCACATTTTTACCATTTGCGCCCCGAAAGAAAAGCTCGGGCATTTCACCGTTTTACTAATTGTTGATGAGGTTTTTACCTTTTGGTTCGAGTGGTGCCAGTAGAGCGGTCTATACAGAAGGTATGAAATGGAAACAGCAGCAAGGTTTATGGGGGAAGAAAGGGGGGGGGCTTATATAGGCTTCTTGTGTTCAACCTGAAACTTGATACTGAGGGGAAATTAGCTGTCTTGGACAGCTAATATCAAGTTTCAGGCACTTGGGACCTCACCTGCATATAAATTCTGATACCACAATCTTCGCAGCCCGAATCCGAGCCCAAAAATAAAGGTATATTTGCGCGGACAGGCCGAACCCTCCTTTAGTAATTGCCAAATTTATGGTTTTTTTTATTTCTTTCAAATACAATCTGGTAGTTCGGCCAGCTGTTATTTCCTGTCGTGGTGCACCGTCGGTCAACCAGTGCAGGAGCTTGCAGTCTTTTGCATTTTGCTATTGTTTCATAAATTGACTTGATCAATTTTTTGCAAGAAGCCTTGGCATTCGTTGTCCTCCTTTTCTTCTACTTTGAAGTGCCCGTTATGTAGTGTTTTTTTGCTTATTTAAGCAAAACAAAAAGCGCCAAACACTAAAAGTGACGAATACGGGGACAATAACCTCAAAAAAGAAAATAATGTATGAACCCAAAAAAAGGAAGGGGAGAAAATATTAATAATTTTCTATGACTTCTGGCATAATATTATCGGATCGAAGGTCGACTCGGACCCGGACGCAATACCGCGGAGCTG